TATCGAGTATCTATTGCTCAGAGCCTATTCAGTAGAGTCAGACATCAAAGCATGAGTACATCAGGTCGGATAGCGACCGTTTATATATCTTTTGAGAACTAATTTCTAACTACCGCAGCTATTAAAGTCCAATAAAATACATGACGAAATGATCATCACATCGTACTACTCTATCTCAGTATCACCTGATCAAATCGTTCCCATGCAACGTATTGCCCGCTCTTATATCCAAAAACGCTGGTTTACAAGTTCTATTAACAAGCAATATAGATATAACTGTCACAACGTTTTATTTCAGTCTCATCCAAATTTGGTAGATTAAATTTATTCAGCCGCACACAATGGTCGCACACAATGGCCGCCAAACGAATTACTAACCGAATGACCACAGCACATTGAATTTATTTCTTATAAATAGATCGAGGGCTCAGACATCTTGTCATCAGTAACAAATGTCTTTTGCAACATTATTATTATTTCATTTTGAAAAAATCTATCATCCTTCTACAAAAATGTCTGAATATGAAATTGAAAACTATTTTTACCGAAATCACTCACAAAAACCCTCAACCCTATATTTTAAAACATGGCTTCGTCGAACATATCTTTCATATGTGGAATTATTGACAGCGTTTCATTAAACGCAGCTGTTGAAAAATATACACAAGACCTTGAGGAAGGCATTAATAAATGCGAAAGAACAGATTATAGAACCATGTTAGAAGATGTAATGGAAGGGTTCAAGAAGATGAAAGTGGTAGCTATTGATTGGTATTGGTTTTGCCTTAATGATGATGCCAATATAATAACCAGGGGAAAGCTGGATAATTATGAACAACTAAAATCTCAGTTCAGACAGAGAGAGATTGATTAAATCTGCTACTGAATGAGTATGTAGTTCTTGCATGAAAAATTCTCAGAAACATGCTTTATGGACATTGGCTGACACTTAGAAAATGCATTTAATTTGGAAGATTCATCAACACATCTTCTATTTGAAAACACAAGTCAAAATACATCAGAAGGGTACCATAACCAGAGAATATTTATTATTCAAATGCAATGATATTGGAGTAAGTTGATTTAATGCTATCTGTGAACAAGATGTACAAATGCTCAAACTAAAACCATACATAACCATTGAATGATGGGCAAAGAACATTGTTGTAACCAAGGCTTGTAAGCTAGGGACCACCAAGCACAGAAGTAAGAGACAAAAATGTGCACCAGTAGTGCATACAGATACACAATTTGAGCAAGAATGCAAACTTCCATGAGAATTTATTATATACAGTGTTAAGTGTGGGACAGAAAATTCCATAATTTTGCTGTATTCAATCATGCATGTGTTTTAAGGCTGATTTAAACAACATAAAATGTAAAATAATTGTCAGATAAACAAAGAGTATGTTATGTATTTGATTCAAGCAGTAATCAAAAAGTTTTTATTGTAAATGTATTGGCTAGTAAAGTGGAGAAACATTCGAGCTGGTTACATATAGCCCAATTTTCGTTAGAATTAAAGTCTAAACAAATTATCCGATCGACCCATACTTACATTACATAACCTATTAGTAATCTTTACATGCGCAGAATGAATTAACTATCGTCTATGAATTACAATAATATCAATGTTTCGAGAATTTTTGACCTGTAGTTGAAGTCCGACATTATTTACAATATTTTCCACAACCTAGTCTTGAACTAGACCAACAACCAAACCTCTATCGTGTTGTCGGTCGAATTATTCAGCCCGATGGCGGCGATTCAGAATGCTTGATCGTGAAATGGATCGTAAAAATCGACGAGTCTGAGCCAGCCTCATTCAACTGCCCTTATCGCCATTCCTTGATATATTGTCTTCTTCCCCTTTTTCGTCAAATTTCAAAGGGCTGCTTCTTTTTCCTCCTACAGTCTCCCTCCTTCGAGACAAATCAGCCAATAATAAATAAATTATTGCTTCTGCCTAGCTTGTTTGAGTCATTTCCCTCTGGGATAGTCATCACGCTTTCCGGATGGTCATAATCATTGTAGTCCGCGTCAGCCGAGTCAACAGGCCGTAACGAACGTTGATTGAATGGCATGCTAATGTCACTCTTGGATATTCCGCCTTCTGGAAGTTTGGACACGTCGTTATTACTCAGATGTAACGAGCGACTAAATCGCCTGAGCAGCTTGAGCTTGAAAGGGTTCGGAGTGTGACTTTTTATCTTCTCTTTTGATTGTTTCGGTAGCGATGATGACCTCTTCTCGTTCATAGACTGACCATTGCCTACTGTATCATCATCCGTGGAGGCACTAGTGAGTGTCTTACGGAACGGTAGTATACTGACCCGCTTTGAAGAGTAATTTGGATAACGCAATCTATAAATCGTCTTATTCGGCAGCCAGGACTTCTCCCCATTATCTTCATTATCGCCATTGCTTGGATACGTTTGTTGGCGGTAACCATTAAACTTTTCGTAATTGTGTGCAAGCCGCTGTCATTTCTCCAACGAGGCTTTCAACTCGGATATTTTGTCAGTGCATTTTCGTACTGTGCTTGCAAATTTTTATACTTTTGATAGTATCGGGTTGGATGTACATCTGCTAGTGTTTCTTGCACTTCTGTGATCGCTGCTAAAAGTTCGTCGTTTCGTCTACGAAGCAGTTTGCTTCGCCACGCGAGAGCCACGTGCGGATTATCCGACTTTCTAACTAGCCGACGGCTTCTCTTGATTTTAGCCAAGAATTGAGCCCGTTCATGTGCCGTCCATTCAGCAACAAAGCTTGAGCCGTGGATTGAAGTTTTCATTGCAATAACTAATATCCCGCACAACATTGTGACGCCAGCAAAGAATTTTCCCCACGAGGTGTATGGGACTTCATCACCGTAGCCAGTTGTTGTTAGTGTGACTGTTGACCAATAAAACGAATGTACAATGGATTGGAACGGGCTTTTTTCTACTTGATTGGTGTCGGAATTTATCCGATACCAGGTCCGGTCTTGTTGGTTAAAAGTCCCTCTTTCAAAAAAGTAAATGATGCCTGATGAAAACAGAATAATCATGAAGACCCAAAATAACACTATAATTATTTGGCTGCTGGTTGAACGTTTTATCGCTCTCACGGTAACCTTTGATGGAATGGATACAATGAAAGGACATGTGAAAAACTTGGCGTAAAAAAAGAGAGACAAAGCAATAATAAAACATGCGAGATTACTTTGAACGATTCGGAGTGTTTTGCAAAGTAAAACAATCGAACTATCCTGAGCAAGCGCACTATTCTTAACGTTGAAAATACCGACTAAATAGACAAGTTGATTATTAACGAAAAGTATATCCGAAAGACAAGTTTGTCACAGGCATGCCGATTGTGAATCACTAACACGTCTAATAAAATATATGAATAGCTGATATTGAACACATGCCTCGGCTGTTCCTTGTATAAATATTTGAACGTAAAACGGAGCGATTGAGAATAAATCAATCATATTCAGGGGTCCTAAAAATGTAACGGTAACATTAAAATCGATCACATCATGACAGTTGACATCCACATAATTATAAACTTACTAAAGAAGAATCTAAGTTTGTTTACTGAAGCAAAGAACCTGCCCAAATATTCTACAGTAAACGTTATAATCACGATTATATCGATACAAAGCCTGTAATTTAATATATAGTAAGTAAACGAACAAGACAAACGCGATTGACTCGAAGGCTGACCGCCATCTGTATACTCACCACAAAGCACGATAATCAGACAATGCATACGTCGGCAGAGTGTCAATACAAATCATGATGCCCACAACGCATAAAGCGCTGAAAACGGAGAACGTTTTCGCGGCACATCCTTTAGGTAATTCAAAGAAATAAAACAATTTTTTCTGAAACGGAGATCGTCTCAAGTCATCCTTATCGGTGACTTCTTTCACGTCAATCTACGAAAGGCGAGTCAGATTGAATCTAAAAGTAAAAAAAAAGGAGGGGACTTTTAAATTTGTGGACCAATTACCTTGGATTCATTATCCGAATCCGAATCAGATTCAGATTCAGATCCAAAGTCTTCAGCTGCGTTGTCATCTAGATAATTGCTGGCATTCGTCGATTCATCCGCATCTTGATCCGTTTGACCATTGTGCGAGCTCTCATGACCTTCTCTCGGTGTTCTACCCCCATCACCCCGATCTAACGAGCTTCTCTAACATTTTTCGAAATTCTGCTACCGTTGTTATCGTCCTCACTGAATTGACTTGTATTTTGTCTTTCCTTGTTAGGTTTTGAACTAAGTGACCTTACAAGTCACGAGACTGCAATTAAAAAGTCAATCAATATGGATTTATAAATGAACGTGTGTTATCTGACCAACCTTTTGTTCCAATCGTCGTTGTTCTTCCTTGGTAGGTTTCTATGTTTATTTTGATAAGGCTTTGTCTTGACGGTTTCAACGCTCGGTTGCGTCATACATGATAACCCGAATGAAGATTGTGATTTTAATTTAGTTAGATTGGACATTGTAATTGTGGTAAACGAGTGGCATGCTGTGTTGTTGTTTCTAGTTTCGTTGTAATAAAAGACTTTAAAAAGGTTCTAAAGTGTCTGCTAAGATGATTAACGTCGCACAGTATACAGTCAAACCTCGTTATAACGATATTTTTGTTCCGCCAAAAATTATCGGTGAAGCGGGGTTATCGGTGAAGCGGGTTTTTCGTTTTTACCGATAATATATGAGTCTTTATTGTTAACACAAACTAATACTAGCAATTACGAATAAAACTATCAATGGACGTTTGCTTTTTTTTTGAAATAGAGAGAGCCAACAAATTATTTCTCAAGCTCCGAAGTTTAAAAAGTATGCCTCTATCATAAGCAAATTCAGCAGGCGGGTTGGAAAGAAAGTCGGACAATACCTGTAGGCTGTCTAAAGCTGACGGTAGGGTAAACAGCCAGTTATTCAATTTCGTCTTCCTCATTAGAGAAAGGAAGATTTACTAGAGACACTATCTCTTCGTCATTTATATTTTTCGCATCCATTTCTTCGTCAATACTCAGATATTGCCCAGATGACATCGGTTGCTCCAAGCCTAGACTATCAATAGAAGATTGTAGACTATTAATTTCTGACTCTATAATATCGTTGTCGATTGTCTCGTTATCAGATGGTAGGATGCCAGTTTTTCTTCAACAATTTCTAATGGTAGTTTCCGTAACAGCACTTCACGCCTCAGCGCAATAAGTTATAGCATCAAGAATATTAACAGGAATAATATTTGGAATTGAGCTCACGAGAAAGATCATATGAATCTGCGATATGTCGTACAAGTAATCGACGATAGTGTGCCTAACGCAGGGTAAAATTTTAGTCTAATATTCAATTGACACAATCAATAGCTTTCATGCTTACCTTAAAGGATTTAATAACCCCGGTATCGCACGGTTGTAAATGAGAAGTTGTGTTAGGGGGGAGAGAGTGAATCGTAATATTAGTCAATTGACTAGGCTCCAGGACTGTATGTGTCGCTGCATTGTCTACCAGAAGAAGAATATGAAGGGTAAAGAAACTTACGTCAAGTTGTCCTTCCCATTACTTCAGCTGTATTATTAAAACGGTCTTCGGGCGTCGCTAGTTTGTCTGGAGTATATAGCAAATTTCTGTTAATTTACTTCTGCAGTGCGCTTTATCACTATAATCATTTTGGGCGCAACTCGTGATTATCATTTCAAGTATGATCTGTTCAGCTTTATCTATTTCAG